TCCTGCAGAAATCAGTGGGACAACAGACTTGACATGGTGATGACTTGACACTTTGATGTACACAGCAATGCTCCCATTAATGGAAAATCATAACTCATTTATGAAGTAAGATAGCCCAGCTCTGTAAGGGATTTATTAATATTTTGGGGCCCAACTGAAACATCTTGCCTCAATTTTAACTAAAATTAAAATTTTGGAAACCAAGTAAGTGGCTTATGAGTTCAAGTGCCATTTTCAAAAGCAACAGGCGCTTAGGAGCCCAATCATAATGAAAATCCTAGTAAGTCCTATTTTTTAAAAAGTGCCTTAAAGATAGGAGATGAACCCAGATTTCAAAGGCACTGAGGCACTTAAGAGGCAGAGAGGCACTGACTGGGACCTTCAGAAGAACCTAACTGGCCAAAAGGTGGCAGATATTTAAATCAAGGTGCATTCAGCACCTAATCTACTTAAGCTGAAAATTTCACTAGGTGCCTACCTGTACTTAGTCACTTAAGTACATTTGAAATCTAGGCAGTTAGACTGCTACAATACTTGGAGCACATCTGCATCAAAGGATTGTACCAGGGAACACTGCAGTGAAGCATGCCACACCTACCCTGTACATACTATACCTTAGGTGTTAGGTGTAATGCAGTCACCTTTGAGCAATGCTATCTAGGTGCATACTAAGATGCCTTTCCAAGAAATTTTATTGGAACACACCCAAGCACCTCACTGAGGTAACAATATTAAATCCATTTCAGGGTGTAGTATGCATGCACAAGTGTGGTTTCCTTCATTGCAGCTCTCAACCCTTTGCTGGACTATGTATCCTAGGTTTTAAAGGGTGGCTGAGCAAGTGTGGCTCTTGATGCAGGATATGATCTATTGATCATAGGGAGAGTTCTCATGTCACAGGCCTGAGTAAAACCTGAGTAATGAGCAGAATATGTATTCTTTCCATTTAAAAAAAATATTTCCCAAAAATATATCTACCTTTGGAATAGCCTACTCTCAGGAAGTGAAATTCAGCCCTTCAAGAGCCAGTATGTTGCCCTTACACCACTTCAGGCCTATGTACACACTCAAAATAGGACATTAGTAATACAGTGTCATTTTCTAATTCTCTATAACAAGTGAATCTCACTCACAGAGAATAGAAACTTGAAATGTCATCAGTAGCACAACAGAATCCCTTATTCCCTCTAAAAGCCCTGCAACTCAAAGCCCTACTGTCTGAGTGCAGCACCTGGAAAAATCTAAAACACAGGTAGTAGATATCTAAGACGTGTGGTGATAGGTGTCACATTGGATCAAAACTCATAGTGTGATACCAGATTCCTATTAGTATTAGAGCAAATGAAGGTAAATTTATCTGACCACCTGAACATAGTCATGATTGCTATTTTCTTGACCTAGGCAGATTCTGATTCCAGAAAACAACATTCAGAGTGCTTATAATCTAAGTTCCATTTTGACGGCATTTACATAAACAGTGTGAGTTTTTAGCCAGTCCCTACCATCTGTGTGCTGCAGAAGAAATGCAAAACATGACTACTGACAAATGAGCCATATTCAATTACCAGCAACAAGACTCAACAGCAAATGGGGTATCATTATGAGAAGATGGAGAAAAGAAGGATTTCTGCATGCAGTGGTTACATGGTCAGTCAGTACACTTCTTTCCAAAATGAGGAACACAAAACACTACAAAAATATTTTGTGATTACAACAGAGAAGACAAATGACATTTGTTTGAAAATTGGCATCATAACCTATATTTCTTTTTTTTTTTACGCCATTAAAATTGAGGCCTGGGCTCCTCTCATCAAAGAGATCATTTTTTCATTACGGGATTGATTCTTTAAGTGGTATTTGTTTTCTTCAGCATTTAATAAATAATTTGTATGTCGTAGATACCAGATCTTCATATCAACTTTTAAAAATTCAATTTGTTCATTACCTGCAAACTGAACACTGGAGATAGAACTTAATTCATTCCCGCTCCCCTATTCCACCCCCACCCAAAAGAAAGTTGCAGAGATGGTGCTTATTTGGGAACAACAATACTGAAGCACTGAGGAAAGCAGAAACAAAAAAAAAAAAGCCTGCAACTTCTCACTGAAAGCTCTTCCCTTTTTCTTGGACCAAGATCATTACATAAATCAGGTAACCAACTACTTGTTTGTTATCTATTAAAAAAAACACCAAAACAAAACAAAAAAAACCCAGAACAAAAAAACCCCATAAAACAAAACTAAACTAAACTAAACTGTATTCAATACAAATTGTTTCTTAATTAAACACACACCTGGGACGTTTCCTGGTCATTTCTTGCTGAAAACACATTTCCAAATATACTGGGTGAAATTTATAAATGGTTTGCCACCTACTGAAGTTGTACTCTGCCAGTAGCCATGTGGAGTGCAACAGTATTACTTGGTTGGTGACTAGATAAAATGGATATTTTACTGACTGAATGCTGCAGTAATCTATTGTCAAGTTAATCAGTTCCATCCGGCTCTGATTTCACTAGAATTGCCCCTATTACACAGCTTAGATAAAATAACGGTCATTGTTCTTGTTCCAAGCCTGACAGACAGAAAGACCTGAGTTTGTCACATTGCATCCACAAAATAGCTTTGTATAATAGTATATTAATCTGTGCCATCAGCTGCATTACAACACTAGCAATAAAGGTGAGCTCAATGAATCCCAAAAGGGCACCGAGAGTGTTCAGTAGCAACCAAAACTAACAGACAATGAAGGAAATATCCTTAAATTCTCCTATAGCTCTATTTTAAGCAATATTTTGCATAGGCAAACCTGTACTTTCACTTTTTTTTTTAATTTGATTTTTTTTATTTGATTTTTTTTAAATTGTACTTATTTAGAAAAGAGAGGGAGAGAAAAATGAGATAAGTACAGTCACTAATTTTTTTTGACCATACTCATGCAAGGAATTCTTTTGGCTTCAACAGGATTATTTATATGAATAAAAAGCTAACAGGATTTGGCCTCATATTTAGGATGTCTCCCCCTTATTACAGCAAGCGTACTCTTACTAACATCTTTGAGCTATGGTTTATTTATCTAAATCAGGATATTTCTTACTTTTGTTTTAATTTAAAATATTAAATCCATCTCCAACTGGCATCCACTGCAAAACACACAGGGACATGAAATTCTGCAATATCTCAGGGAGTTTGATTTTTGCTTCAAAAAATGGGAGAAGTTTCTGTTTTATCTTATTTATAAAAACAAACTATGGGACTGTCTGAATAGGAACACAAGCTTGAATTGTTGCAGATCTACCAGTGCCTTGGAGAAATCTTTGAAAGATATCCAATGTTGCTTGGAATAAATTTTGATTTTTTTTAAATTGTACTTATTTAGAAAAGACAGGGAGAGAAAAATGAGATAAGTACAGTCACTAATTTTTTTTGGAGGAGGAAATTAATCAGATCCTTTTGTTGCTGACACCATCCAAAGTCATGCTGTCAAACAGTGGAGTATGTCTTCCACTTCCAGAAGGTTATAGAGAAGAAAGGATAAGAAGAAAAGGAAACCTGTAAGAAACAAAGACTGTTTTCATGCCAAGGTCCATTTGAAATGACGAATGAGGTGGAGAAAAATACAAAAGTGATGCCACATACACAAGTTGGTTTAGAACAGAATGTTTTCTGTCATTTTCCAAGAGGTACCAATGAATCATGAAATCCGGTGAAGGGCATAATTACAAGGAGGTGAGGGCTGGATATATCAGAAACTTGAGTTGATACAGGAGGGGCTGCTCCTGCAAACTTTTACTTTTGCAAGCAATTTTTTACTCAGATAAGTAGCCCTGCTGAATGCCATTTTTTAGATAAGAATGGCAGGATCACATTCTAAGAGAAATACATCATCAGTCCACTCTCCTGTGAGATACTAAACTCAGAGTCTTTTGTAGGATCATAAATCTTTAGTTTGCATGGTAATAACTGATGCTACACAGTCAACAGTAAGCATTAATATGTCAATTCCTTGATACTGTAGACCAGTGATTTCCCATAAGGCTCTATACAAACCACTCAAGACCTCATTTGTTGGGCTAGGAAATGGCTACTCTTTATAAAAAATGGTGTTTTTAAAAAATTACCTTTACAAAAACATTCCCCCCCCCTTTTTTTTTCTTAAAGATTTCATTATCTACAGGAACCCATAAAAATTTCTCCATATTTACATCTAGATAACTAATCACTGACAAATATAATATTGTGAAATAAAATAATGAAAGTGAATATCAACCTTTTAAATAGACATTTGGCTCACAGCATAAACAACAGAGAAACAGACAAAAAAGAATTATCTGTTTTTCTACAGGCCCAAATTTTTTCTTAAAAATAATAATAATAATTATAATAAAGAGCAATTGGTACATTGGTGGGATCAAGCAAATTACCGCCATCCAGCACCTTTGCTGCCAGACCACATTCTCTGAAGCTGGTATGAGTGGTTGCTGAGGCATAAGTATCTGGCTAATGTGGACAAGCAGCTGTCCCTTATGCCCACCTTTCTGGTAAAGCACTAACTGCCTTTTGATCTCAAGCAGCCGCTGGTCCCACAGTTCTCCTCTGGCTGCATTTAATAGATGACAATTTAAGCTTCAGTTTTAAAATGTTTTTGGCCACTGACACGGGGAAATGTAAGGCTGGGGGGGAGAATGATATAGTGTGCAATTGATTTCCATGCTTTCTCTCTTGCACACGCTCAGTGCCCTCTGAAACCATAAACCCATTCAAAGGTGTACAGAGGGCCAGTTTTTGTGAAGATCAGTAACAATGTGTGCCACACAAACCTCCTTTAACTCTTCTGGGAGAACAGTTCTCATGGCACATCCCTGTTGCCAGCAGTTTAGCAGAAGGTGGTTCCAGGTGGTTGGGAACTCAGTTCCACTAAGTGGTACCACCTCAGCTGCCTGATTGGGTTGGCTCCTGCTGGA